ATTGTAGCAAGTGCCTCACAAACCAATTGTCAGCACTATTTATGTTTTGTGGAAGGCAGAACAAAAGTTCATGTTTAATGAAAAGGTACTGGGTTTTGATCTTGGTAACTACAGATACTTAGTTTAGAACTTCTATTGACTTTTCTGGTTTTACCCCCCCTTTTTTTTTAAATTTTAACAAAACCAAAAGCTATTTTGGTTACTGGACTTGTGTGTCTGTGCTGATGACCGCTGTGCCCTCACTCATTTGAGAAGTTCTTTTAAGTTTGCACTGTTTTGTGAGCTGACTCGGAGCATCAGGTACCTGTTAAGTGATCTCCAGCTGATCCTGCTGGATCTCTGTTTCACAGGAGTCTTTGATTTCTCAGAGTCAGATGCTAAATAGTAAATCTATTTCCTTCGTAAGCCTGGTCAAAGACTTGACAATCTGTAGCATAAAAAATGATCCCAGCCTTGCAGGTTGCAGGAGCTGCTGCAGCATTGCATATTTGCAGGTCACACCCCCCTGGAAAGTCCCTGGCTGAGGAGTGAATGGTTATCACCATTTCTGTGCTGCAGGATTCAGTGGGATTGGGTTTGAGGGCCAGGAACAGGATCAGGGGGGAATGCCTGGGTGTTACTAAATCTTGGCACCTGTCAGCACTTTCTCAGGGAAATCTGTAATGCCGAGCGTCTCACTTCTTGGAGCAGTGAGAACACCAGGATCACCTGTGTATTACTGCAGCCTGTTCTGCTGCTGACACAAGCCAGTTTCCTCTAAGCACTCACTGCAAAACAGCTGCAGAAAGGCAATTTTAGGGTTATTCAAAGGATTTAAGGAGTGCTTAAATACAAGTAGAGAGGGTAGGTAACTAAACTCTCTTGAAATTTAATGTTATTTTCAGAAAATGCAGTATTTCAGTGGCCTGGTCACTTGGTGATGCAGCCCTGACAGTGCTGGGTGACAGGCAGACTCTTCCCAAAGCATCTCTTTGTGGCACTGCCTGGAGTGATCCTAGGCCTGTCTCTTTTTATCTTGCATTCCCTTTCCCTCTCTCCTTTTCTTCACCAAACACTTCTCCCATTGAAGAGACAACCTTGGAACAGTGGGAGCCACTGCAAACAAGCTACAGTCTCCTCACTTGTTGCTTGTGAGCAGGATCTGACTCCAGCTGATTTGTCTGATTCCTCCTATACCACTTTGGTACACAGGCAATAAGGAGATTTGGGGTTAATTCCCTTCTGAAGAGCTGTGAACACCTGTAACAGAGGCTCCTGTAGCATCAGCTCCTTGATGATGTGAAGAGGATTGCATGGATTTTAGGATATTGCTCCCTGTATAGAATCTGAATCTAATCTTGAGGTGGCATAAGAAGAGTAGCAGTGGCTATATCCTGATTCTTGGTTCCAGTTGCACACCAAAGATAGGTGATAAAATATTATTTGCATTAATTCCCATATTTGTTTACCACATTTTTGGCTCTGGATAAATATTTTCAGCTTTTCCCTCTACAGTGAAAGTGCTGATGTTGGGGCAAAAGGAAAGTGGGGTGAAAGTGGAAAATGGAAAGCCACATCACTGCTTGCTTGATCTTGTAGAAATCAGACTGAAAAATAACTGCATTATTACCAACCTGTAATTTCATTAGGATGAAATATGGTCATTTTTAGATGTCAACCACTAATTTTCACTTCTGGAGCTTTAAGTGAAAACTTGGTTTTGCTCTAAGTCCTGTTTGGAAAGTGATGCAGTTGTTTAAGATGTGTATATATGGTGAAGATCATTCTTTTTCTGTGTGAGATCTGGACTTCTTTTCACTGTACAAAATGCTTACTGTGCACCCCAGGTTCGCCTCCCAAAGCCTCCACCAAAACCAGCTCAGCAGAAGGGAAAAAAGCCACAAGGTGAAGAACCTGCCTGTCAAAACAAAGTGTTTCTGGGGGTGACAGGCACAGAGCTCCTGGGAGAAGGAAAGCCAAGTACACGGAACAGGAGGCGTCCCCAGGCAGAGCTGCAGCAGGTGAGGATTTGGGCACAGCAACAGCACCCAGCTCCCCCTGTTCATTAGCTCCATGTCCATCTCGTGGGGGTGGGTGAGGAGGAACAGGGCTGGAAAAGAGCCAGGGGCTCTGTCACAGACTCCAGGAGCTGGCAGATGCTTGCTAGCTTCCAGTATTCCAAAGAGGAACCTGAGTCTCTGGTAGGCCAGGGCCTAAGTGCCAGGAGGCCAGTGCCTGACCTGCCCCAAACCTGGCACCTCCTAGTGCTGGATCAGGACCTGGGGTAACTCTAAACGTACTGAATTCCTTTTAGTACACAGAGTTACTGTCTGCACCTCAGTGGGCTCCCTTGCCCAGGCCTTCCCTAAATCCAGTGCAGCAGAAGGAAGACGTGGGGCAGGAGGACCACTCCAGCTGCTTGAGCAGGCCCCACACCCGAGGAACACGCCGGCAGTTCCACATGGAAGAGAAGCCACTTAGAGTTTACACTACATGTCAGGAGCCTGAGCACCCAAAAAAGGTGAGGGGTTTGGTGTTACCTTAGAACAGTCACAGTGCCTTGAGAATGAAAGATCAGCTTTTCTAAAAATAAGAGTTCCAAAAACCCCTTGAAGGTTCAACTACATGTATGCAAACTCTGTTTGCCTTGAACACTAAAGGTTTGTGGGTAATTGTCTGTATGCACTATTGGCCAGCTACACTGCAGTTTGTGCAGCTGTAGAGCAAAGCCCTGCATGTGGACACAGATTGTTATTTCCCAGCTCTTCTATCTCCCTTTGTGGACCCTATTGTTTGCTTGGTAGAAACTTTGTTCAGTAGTTTCTTTCTCTGTGTAGTGTAAGACTTCATAGCACTCATTACTTCAGTCTTTAAATTCTGAGTTTTATATCAGAGGATTTTAGCAGTTAACAAACTCACCTTGAATATTATTCTTGATTTAGTGCATAAAAGGGTTGAATGAATAGTTTCAGTCTTACTCTTCAACCATACAGGAAAAAAATGGATCAGTTTTAGTACAAATAATACAGCACTACAACCATCTCAGTGATCACCTGTGCTCCTGTTCTCTGGAGTTTTGGTGTATTTCAGTGAGTGGATTCCACCCTGGTTTTCTTTCATATCAACAAATAACTTGGTTAAATGAGCACAGAAATGCAACTTTAAAGGTGGCTTAATGATTAATCCAAAATTCTTTGCTTCAAGCAGTCTGATCATCACTGCCTGGAGACTCCGGTACAAGCTGAGAGAGGGAAGCAGCAAAAGTACAGCTGTACCTGAGAGCACCAGGCAGGACAGTGGTGAGCAGAGCCGTCCTGGGAGATGTTTTGGCTGCCAGCAAGGGAGATGGAGTCTGAAAAGTCAAACGCAACTTTGGAATAGGAAAATATTCCAGTGTTACTTCCTAGTCCTCAAATGTAAAGTTTTTGCAGAAAAGGGACCAATCACTGGGCTGGTGGTTAGATTATATTTGTGTTTGGCTTTAGTTTTTCTAATGGAAAAGCTGCTATTCCAATAAGATTAAATGTGCTGTTTCTATGTAGAACCATTCTGTGGTACTCACTGAATATTCTGCATAAGGGGGGACTTTAAACGGGTGTCCAGATAACATTTAAGCCATTCAAATGAGAAAGTGGAGAAGGAAAAAAGGCAGGATTCTCTTAGCTTCATTTTGCAAAATTCCTCTCATGTAATTCAGGAGCTTGGTAATGGAAAGGTCTGTAGGAAGCCAAAGCTGTACCTGGCACTAAGGGACAGTTGAAAAGAGTCAAGTCTTGGCTAAGTGAGAAGTGGGATTGTGGTGTTTGGGGATCCCTTTCAGAGGTGGAGGGTGACCAAGAACAGCATTGCTGCTGGAGATGTAGAACAGCCCTGGCACCCCTGGCCAGCCAGAACAAGCCCCACTCTACAAGGTTATGTTCCTTGTGATGGGCAGAAATTCGGCTTCACTGTGAAATGCAAAACTTATACAAATCCAACCAGCACATTCACACTTAAAATCATGTCTTGAGTTTCCAGGATAAACCTTTATTAGTAGGAACAGAGGAGAGACTGAATATATTAAACATTTTTGGATACAAGTCAAAGATAAAGAAGAATTTCAGATGTAGACTTCAATAGTAAATATAGATATGTCTATTTAGGAGGTGTTTAACCATGCCTTATGTTACACACTAACCATACAATATCCATACAAGTGCAAATTCCAGAGGAAAGACTCTGTAAGAATTGTAATGCTTTCTCTAGGATAACTTAGATACCTCAATGGCATCTCTGTTTTTTTTGATTCACATCTCACTTCATATTAGCTTTATAATCACAGCTATTTTTCCCCTGCAGGAAGAGACTGCAAGAGATCTGCTACCATTTGATTCTTACAGAACACTCTCAGAATCCCAAAAGAAACACAATCATCTTGTAACTCCAGTTCCTGCAGCAGCATCCCAGGCTGGTGCTGACACCACTCGTCCCTCTCTCTCTGTTGCATTTAACCTGGCATTTGCTGATCAAACCTACCCCTACACTGCAGCTGTTCTGCTGCTTCTGCTGCTCATTGTCCTGTCCTTGTATCTGCTTTGATGTTTTTGTTCCTGTGTCTTCACTGGGAGTGCAGTGGTGCTCCCACCATGCAGCTTTTTCCTAGAGTTTCTTCATTGAAGATTTCAGTGTCAGGGGCTTGAAAAAGAAGTTTTTAAATAATCCTGTCAGTACATGCCTTGTACGGGCAAGTTCTCATCTGCACTCAATAGTTATGGATTCTCTGAGCTATTTGTGTTGGCTTCTGTTATAAATGTTGGGATTCTTTTTGTTGCTTGTTGCTGAACCTTTTGTTACGCCATTAAAAAAGTATCATTAAATATGATGGAGTGTGGTCTTTAATTACTCTGGCATTGGTGTGGGGCTGTCTTTATACTGTGTCAGAAACCTTCAGTTAAACACTGGCACATTTGCCTTTTCCACTCTAGTTCACTCCTACTCCTTGGATTTCCTTACCTTATTACAATAGGGACATTCACCAAAGATGACATTAAAACTCTGTCTGCTGGTAGGAAGGCCTTGTAGCCACTGCAACACAAGAAGTAGGTTAAAAGTCACATTGGTTTCATCTCCAATGTAAGAAACACCTATTAATTACCAGAGTTCAGCTGATGAGCAGCTGAAAGGGCGCACGCAAAGATGGTGGTTCCCTTTCCCAGAGAGCTCGTGTGGGAATTGGGGGTGACAGGACAAGTGACTACCACAATGTGCCTTACAGGCTCTTGCTTAACGCAGGATTTAAGTGGCCAGTGCTTGTTGTCCAGAACATGCCAGCTAATGGCAGTTTGTGCCACTGATCACTTTACCTCATAGAGACAGGCTTGGTGGAAGGGCTGCCCACAGCGAGGATCGTCACACACTTGGTCGGGCATGCTGCCGTCCAGCCGATAGGCGTAGCAGATCCCACAGTCCTTGGCAAAGTCCTGCAACACAACAGCACAGTTGAAAGGCAGGGGTGGGCTGCTCACACACAAACACCTTCACCTGTGGTTTTGCTTTTGCAGCTATAATTACTATTTTTTGCTTTTAAGACATAAATATTTGTCTTTAACCACACACAATGGCTTAGAGTGACACTGGGTTCCAGGTGTGCAAGACTTGACTGGGTTATATTTCATCCCTTACTGAATTACATCTCATTCAACAAGCACTTTCATACTTTTGGGCACTTTTTCTTTATTAAGCACTATGATTTGTCATTATGATTTGACATGAGATACAAACCCTCAGTCATATCTTAATTTACAAGCTTCATGAGTGAAACAAAGCTCATAATCCAGTATTAAAGCATTATCAAGAATTAGTTCCCAGTTTGTTTGAAATGCACCGGTATTTGGAGGGCCTCTTGTCCCCTCTAAGCTGCTCCACCTAATTAGAACTGAAGTCATCAACATCCATAACAGAATGTTTGGATTTTCTACATCTCATTAGCCACTCTGGAACTTCTTTTCCCTTTAACAGTGGAGCCTGTTATCAATGCCCTCACTGCTATGAAGGCCACAGCGAAGTGTGCACCTCTAATCAAAGGTTAACAAGCTCTGACAACTGTTGCTTGAAGTTCAGAAGTCCTTGTGACAATGTATTAATCCAATTACCTCTGAAAAGTCTCTGATTGTCCCTGGCCCTCAGAAAGTGACCATTTAAATGTGACTTATTCAGTAATAACAAGTGGTCGTTAACCAAAACCAACTTACGCTTTTTTCCAATACAGCACGAGATGGAAAATCAATTCCTAGGAGCTCTCTCAAGTTTTGTAACAAACTGATTTCCGGATCCCTGCGGATGGGAGAGGGGGAGAGAAAAATCCACACAAGGAATGGCAAACAGCAGTTGGGTTTCCAACCTGCTTTACTGGGGACACTCACCACAAGTGCATGTTGTTGTTGAGTTTAGTTCTCAGAGGGTTCACTTCTGCAAACAGACAGGAATAATGGCATCACCCCAGTGAACCTCCCAGCTTCCAGGTAGGGACTGGGATCAGAGATCTGAGTCCAGAGGAGAAACCAATGGAATTTGTTGCCTTACCGTGGTCTGCTCCAAGGAAATAACATTCCGGAAGCATGTTTGGATGGCAAGGATCTACTTCTATGTTCACTGAGACATTGTTCCCTGCAAGGAGAAAGCAAGGCCATGGGGAAGCTTTGCAGTCAAAGATTTGAAAAAAGAACAATTTTAAAAGGCAGTTTTAAATTGGTTAACTCAAGCTGGGTTTCATTAGGATAAATAATAACAAAGTTGGGAGGTACCCAAATGATAGTATAAAATATCAGTATATATCAAATATTTATGTTTTCCACAAACTGTAATTAAAAATAGCAACTGATTAAGAAAAACCTGTCAGGCTTGCATTTCTTTTAGACTTGGCTAAACCTTTACATTTATTCAGAAATAAACGTAATCAACCCAAGCTAGCTGACAAAATCCATCCAAAGTCTTGGTGAAACTTTAAAGGTAGAGACATGTAACTTAATAATTTGTCTTTATCTTTTACAGTCAAAAAGAGAAGCCCAAACCCAATATTAAGCAGCAGAAGTCAGTCACATCCCTAGCAAATTCCAGGACCAAGACAACAATACTGTATTTTTGAAACAGTAGATACTTTGCTTTACAAGACACCCCATCATCCCTGGAAGGGCTCTGTTCCTCAGAGGGAAGCAGCTCAGTGGTGCTCTGGATCCAGCTCCAAAACATCACAGCAGAGTCTCTTCTGAAACAAGCCCAGGTAAAACCCAACCTTTTCTGCAATTAAAGCTGTGTTAAGCTTTCCATCCTGGAAGAGGTGGGAATGAATGAAATCAAAGTTCAGTGGTAGCTGAAGGTTCTCTGTGACTGACAACAAAGCGCTCAAAGCCCTCTCCCTTCTCTGCTCAGCTGCTTCAAGGCACTTTTTGAGGCTTTTCTTCCCTTTTCCCTGGCCTGTGGCAAAGGGCAGTAGGACCAGGACAAAGCCCCCCTGACTGCACACAAAGTGATGTCTGACCCACAGCATCCCAACAACTTGCTGAATTTTTCCCATCCTTCCCTCCACTCCCATGAAGCAGCATCCCTCCAGCTCCTTCCTCCCTCCCTCTACAGGTGTCAGGGACAACTTGGGTCCAGCCCTTGTATTCTCACATTTCTACAATTTGCTATTGATGATGTTCATTTTATATAATAAAATTCCTTATCCTATGTATATTAAGACCTTAAAATGCCAGACACCACATATAAACTGAGGAACATTTTCAGGTGTTGACAGGGAAGCCTAGTTTCTTCTCTTTTATTTCCGTCCTTTTCCCTTGCCTCTAACCCCCTTTTTCCCCTCGGGCTGCACTGTAATAGTCCTTCCACTCCAGGATAGTATGAATCTAAAGTTTGAAACTCTGGAATCTGTGATTGAGGTAAGAGCTTCACCTAAGCTGTTTTTTAACAAATACTGATTTTTCTAGGGTTACCATGTAAAGTGCTTAGCTGTTGACAGTTCCATGTTCATAATTCACAAATACACAAGGTTTTCCTGCAGAAATTTTCATTTATCTGACACCAGAAAGTTGTGGTGAATTTCCCAAACAGGATCAGCTTGCTATGGAAAGTTATTTTTTTAATATGCAAAAGAGGAGTTCTGTCTTTGGTTTTAAGTGCTGCCTTTCCTTTCCCAAACCCAAAGAAGCACCATCTGATGAGACAAGCAGAACAAAACAGCTCCCTGAGTTTCACTTCTCAAATCCACTGTATCCCTTTAAATCTTTTCCTACCTATTGCAATTCTTCTGGTTGTAGCACTCCGTGTGGGAATTTCTGGCTCAAGCACCCATGTCTTCCCATCGATTTCATCAAGGGCATCCCAGAATTCCTTCAGCGACTCCAGTGCTGCCAGGAACTGTTTGTAAATGTCTATTAAGGAGTTCTAAGAAACAAGAAATTTAAACAGATTTCATTGAGCTTCCACCAGTGACCTGAGGGAATATGTAAAAAACAATTTACTCATTTAAGGTGTGTTGAAATCCATGTGTGTGTTCTAGTGTATAGTGATAGCATAAAGCATGGAATATCACCTAACAACCTCACTATTATCTCAAAATTAAGCAGTATAAAAACTGGTGCTTAAGATCAGCTTCCAAACCCTGTAAATAAGGCACAAAAAGGAGAAATCATTTAATAAGCAGAGGATTACATGTGGGGGATTTCAATATTTGAGAGTGGATTACATAGAATTAGAAATATCTTTCATTAGACAGGACAATATACAGGACAGCAATGCAAACGAAATCTCTTGAAATTATCAGTGGGCAAAAAGAAATCACCATTTCCCCAGGAAAAGACTTCTGCAAGAGGAGAAAACACTTGGTGGTCGAGGGGAATCCTTTGCAAGTGCAGATGCCCATTGAGGGACAGATTTCAGATACCTTGAGGTTCAATAGAAAAAGCAAATGAAACATTGTATTCTCAGACAGGCATATTTCTATGAATGAAACAAAATACAGAAAGAATTGTTTCCTTTAATCTGTAGTGATTATATTCTTCTTTGCTCACCTGGACAAAGAGCAGCAAATTATCTGAGTGTTCTCAGATGAAGAAATAGAATTTTTCTACATAATATCTTTTTATATTTTGTGCATGTGTATTTTAGAAAGAAATGGCATAGCTTGGAAATAAAATGTTACATTTTTTCCTGCTGTTGTTAAATTGTATTAAAGTAGGAAAGCACCTAAGCAGAGAAGTGTGACTTCTGGCAATCTCAAAATGTAACGCTTATTATCTTTAAAAGCATTTTGTTATTTTTATAATACCTGAAGTGATATAATAGTGTCAGTCACTTACCACATCTTAGAGTATAGTATCTTCATCTTAAGTACTATTATTTCCAGTATTTTAATAATTTTCACACAGTCCTGAAATGTGATCTTTTGTGCTCTGATGACACTTAAATTAATAGCATAATTTTCTGGTACTTGCAACAGTTGCTTTCCATTTTGATTTTTTTACATTTTTCTATATCACATACAGATAAATCCTCTAATAATCATTTTTATCTTTATCTTCTGGGAATTCAAAGGGTTTCACTAGAAAAAAGAAACATCAAGGGATTATAACCCACAGATAAGTTTTAAAATCCAATTAATTTTAATACTAATTGTAATTTTTCAATGATGTTCCTTAAAAAGGTAGTTAAATCTTTTTTTTTTTCTACACTGTTCATTTGATCTTATTTGCATGCTTCACTGCTGTTGCCAGCTGTCTCCTGCTCTATACATAAATGCATCTATAGCTATTTAAATACATCACCTGCTTGTTATGCAAACCATGAAAATTCCAAGATTCCTTTTTATTTGATTAACCAACTAATTTTGGTCGCTGCCCAGCACTTTTAGAACAGCCTGAGATCACACTTCTCTTTGGTCTAAATTACCCCAAGACCACTGTTAATAATATCAAACAGCACAACTCTGTTTCATGGCCCCCTTGTACAAATGAATTAGAATTTGTGTGAAATATGTCAAAATTCTTTGGGAAACAAAACATTCCTCATTCAGAGTGTCAACGCTGCTCACCCTCGCTGTAAAAGTGCTCACAAAGCCAAACTGGCTCCTTCATCCTCCATAAACACGTTGGCTTTGATGGGTCCCAGAAACTGTGACCTCAATGTCACCTCTGTGTTATCAGATTCCATGGATCCTGCATCCATTCACACCACTGACTTTGTACCGGGAAAATCAGATACTCAACCTCCCTGACTCTAAGGGGAACACACCTTCTCTTTCACCAGGAAAGTATCATGTGATTTCTCAACTCTCATTTCCACCTCATCACCAGGACACCTCATGCCAATTCCTTTCTTTCTTCAATTCGCACATTCTCCCAAACCCACACTTATTGCCCGTACACCATTCCCTCCAATCAAAGGAATAAGAAAGAATGGGGAAAAAAATCTCACTCTACTCTTGGTTCTTATTTCTAGAGCCACAGAAGCTGAGAAAAATAAAGAGAAAATCTCGAGTCTGTGCCTGCCAAAAAACCAATGAAGCCTTTCAGGAACTTCTAAGAAGTGCTGTAACCTATATGGCTGTTCTGCCAAATTTCAAGCATCTGCTCCAAATCCTGGATGAACTAAATACTAATCAAATGGTAGTAAAAAAAAGTTCTAATTAAGGTAAATACAGAACAATTTATTCCAAATTATTTTTCAAAAACAAAAAAAATGCAGTCTTTATTCTGAGATTTTTTGGCTAAAATTCTTCCTAACACAAAATTTGCTTATCCAAACTTAAAACAACTGCAAAACCCCCAATAAGAAATAGCCTAGACTATAGGTACCATTACCTTTCTGCCCTTCATGAATTAATAAATAAAATACAATTTAATAAAGCAAACAGTCATTAAATGGAAAAGGGATCACCTAAAGAATTTATGGTTCCTTAGATCTGTTTGGAAACAGTTTCTCAATAACAGCAGTTTAACAATTTCCCCCCTCCTTAACAGAAGTCAAGCCAAGACACAAGCCTGAAATCTTTATGAAGTGTCTTGTCAACCATCTCCATTTTCTGCATTTACAGCTGGTGCCTGTGAAGTTCCTTTGCCAAGAAAAAGCACAATTATGATGCTATTTATTGTGTTTTCATCTAAATAACCCAAGAATAATCTCATTCCCACCACTCCACCTTCTGCACCTTGTATTCCCGTTTCCTTCCTGGCTGTTGCACGACCTCATTAGTCATTAATTTCCACTCCCATGACCTTCATGTAGCAAGCCAGGTGGGCAGTGGTCAGTCTGGAAACCTCTCCCTGATGTGAGACACCCTGATTCTGCAGAACTGCACTTCCAGCGTGTGCTAAAACTGGAGACAGCACATTTATCTGGTTCTTTAGAAAAAGGCTATAACAGAATAAGTAGATGTTCTTGCACTTGTCATTGAGAAGCACTCTGCATTTATTTGGCACTTAGAGCAGGAGCAGCAGCAGCAGCATTGCCCTTGGTGCTGATTTCTTACTACTCTAAAACGTCTCCTCTGAGCCAGAATCCACTGGCTGTTGCTGCTCATGCTGTGAGACACCTGCACTGGCTACTGGGCTTGTCATGACGCACAAAACCCCACCATCTTCAGCTTGACATTGTGCAAGTTATAATTATTCATCCAAATGAATATGTCAGAGCAGCAGCAGCAGACCTCTCATCAGAGCAAAAGAAAAATACATCAAAACATTATCAACCCAGCAGGAAGACAGGGACCATAAGGAAAATTACCCATTTTTAATATGGATGCCATAAAGCCATGTCTATTATTATACGGAAGGGAAAAAAAAGAAAAAAAGAAGGAAAAAAAACCCCAACAACCCCTCAAGTTTAAAACCCATGAACCTGAAATAGGCAGCAGCACACAGAAGGGGTGGAAAAGAAAAATCAATTACCTGCAATCTATTTATATTTTCTTTCATAAGAGTTTATATTCTAATGGTGCCATTGCACCAATTTAGTTAAGCCTTGTCAATTTATACTTTAAAGGTGTAATATTAAAAGTTTAATACCAATTGGTACAAAACACCATGTTATTTCACTAGAGAAGAGGTATAGCCTGTTCTTTTTCCCTTTTAGGAACCAAAATTTTCATGCACTTGAGTACCTGCTGAATTCTGCTCCCAGGGGCGTTGCAGCATTATCTAAGCTTAACCCGTATTTTATCACGGTGTGAGGGCTGCTTGCCACAGTGATTCTCACACATTTGGAAAATAAACACAATTTACACAATTACCAAAGCCATTTGTCCCCACAAGTGTTGGGTTCATGTCACCCACACATGTAAGGTCAATTTGCAAAAGCTGCTGTACAGCTAAAGCATTTCTGTCTGCTGGTATTCGGTTCAGGATTAGAGCAGGCTCTCTGCAGCTCATGATTTCAGAATGGGCTCTTCACTTACACACAAACACCTTTTGTTCACGTGTTCAAAAAGTCCCCGGGTAATTCTAATTAGAAAAATATTTTAAGCATCAGTGTTGTATTTTTAACAGAGGATTTTTCCTTGGCTGTAGTGCCAGTATCAGTATATCTACCCCCTTTTTTAACTTGTCAAAGGCTGCTCCATGTCAGGTTTTTCCAGAACATTTTATTAAAACATGAGTCCATCTTTAAAATTACTAATAGTAAACACAGAGAAGCAGTCACTGTCAGGGATGTTTGAAATGTTGTTAATTTGAGGCAACATAAATTGCAAGGCTGTAAAATTAATAAAACACTGTTGAAAATATGCTGGCTGGAGTGTAGGGATTCTAGTAAAATTCAAGGGAAAAACATTTATTTAAACTGTTCCAAACCATATCAGAGAATCAAAACCTAAAATTACATAAATAAATACATTTTCATTTGCAGTTGTTTATCTTTACAGTTATTTCCTCTCAATATTAGTGGGTCTGAGGTGACAGAACCTTGAGCTCTGCAGCTCAAGGTATTAATTTTTTAAATAAAAAATTATAGTTTTTTATTAAGCCCATCTTAAACTCATCTTGCTGCAACCTCCCAGCCATGCTCCCTATGTAAGTTGTTATTTATTGCTGGGTGGAAACCCTTGTAAGAGTTAAAATTATCAGGTGCAATCATTTATGTAAAAACTATTTTCCTGATTTAAACAAAATATCAATTATTTTCTACATTCAAATTAACTTGTATCTGAGTGGTCATATTTAAATTCATTTAATATAGCACACATGCACTATTCAGGAAGAAAGGTACATGAAACAATGTGAAAGACCTACAAAAGACAGTGTGGTTCTTCATAGCAGCAACATCAGTTAAACTAAGAAATCAGAACTTCATTAAATACTTTTCTATATTGATTATAACTGGAAAAGTTTTATTAAGTTATGAAAGCTCTATAGGATAACAAACTGGGGAAAAGTTTACAGGATAACCAACTCCTTTTTTCAATGTCTGTCAGCTTTAGAGGGTGTTTATTTTCTAGAAGACAGTAATTTTTTCTGCATTTCACTTCCTTTCACTTTCCCACCATAATTCCTAGAGAATTTTCAGTCATAGGAACAGCTTAAAAAAACCCCAACAAGTACATACAACATGCAAGATATATCTCCTGGCATGGAAGATATTTAAGGTACTGTGATAAGGAATATGGAATTTGGTGCTATTACATTTTCATAAGCATGTACAGAAATAAAATGCACACAGGGAGAAAAGATGGAGTTAAAAACCAAAGCCAACCCCTTGCTACCACCCCTCCATTGCACATGTATTTTTATTTTAAAAAGCTGCCTAGTCCAGTAGTTACCTGTGGCATCCAGGAAACAGCAAATGGAACAGGAAAATCCACAAGGCAATCTGGTGGTTCTGTGGGATACTGAGGGAGGGAAAGAAAATACAGTTTGGGATTTTTTTTCCCTTAGTGATTTAAAGTCAGACTGATACTCAGCTGCCAAATTTGATAACAAAATATGAGCACTTCAAGCATCTTGAGAACTTGGCTCTGAGAGGAAACAGTATGTAAAGCATTTTCAGGAATAGTTATGAATGTTAATTATCATTTAAAGAAGAAAACTACATGTAAATGTTTTATATATCAGTATTTAGCAAAGGCAAGAGAATCACAATTTTATGTGTTCAGTGGTCACAAAGGAACATTAAAGAAACTTTAAGAAACAAAGCATGAAGTATTTTTTTTTAATTTCTCCCCAATTATACATACTAGAAAGCAAAGTTTAAAAATCAAACAACCCTTCCATGAGTCAAGAACTAATTTTCATTTAAGCTGAACTATTTGTTCTGAATGGTAGCATTTTGGTTTTTAAAACTGAAAGTAATGTAAAGTACTTAACTATTTAAAAAGAGATAAGTGAACATAGATCCAAAAAAAAAAAAAACCTCAATCCAAATTAAGAGATAACAATAAGAAAAAACTTTTAAAGGCTGTACTAAAAAAAAAAAAAAAAGAAGCTATAAAAGGTTTGATAACTCCATGACATCTTAGCTATTACAGTTACAATCAAATGTGTGTGTCAGAAATCATCCTATTTTTCTTAGGCCAGTTCAAGCAATTATTAAATATAATTTTTACATTGGTTTTCTGAGCATGCAGCTAACTTTATCTGGAGAAATCATTTTCATAGCCCTTGCTAGATCATTCAGATTATCACCAAGTGATTATCTGAATCTAATATTAATTACTACACAACAGGCAAATCCTTCCAGTGGCCTATTTGAAGCCTTGGGGTCTGAAATGCTCCTGCACTGATCTTAATCAAAGAAACAGCATAACCAAAATAAACACATTTTTATTAAAGCATGTTTTCAAAAGAAATGCCTTCCCAAAAAAGACTTCAGCCAAGTCTTCTCACATGTAGTGTCTGTGTGTATGAAGGCAAATCAATTCCCCATGTCACCAAAACAGTATTTCACGCACAAATTTTGTCTGGCAAGTTTAAATGCCAGACATGGTTTAAAAAGGACAAGCAATTGATCCTTCATCATCAAAAACACTTGAAAACAAAATGAAAAAAAGAAAAAAAAATAAAAAGGATGATTACTTATTAAAACAGACAAGTCTGCTAATCTAACTTTTTTATTATATACATCTTTAGTTGTTAGATGGTGCTTTCTTCTGCTATGAGGAGTATTCAGCTATTTTATTACTATGATAAAACCCCACAAGCTTCTGTACAGCTACAAGGACAGAAAATGGGACTCTCCATTCCCTCAGGAAAGTGCCAAGTTAAGGCTGAACAGAACCAGCCAAGGAACCAGTGTCAGTGTTTGACCATGGCAGCTGCTTGGGAAAAATGAATATTGCCCTCTAATTTTTTCTGCATTTTTATACTTTCAAACAGTTAAAATACTTTACTTCTGTTGTTCTAAGAGCAAGAAAACCTTAGGGCAACAGGTTGCATCAAATTTCTAGTGTCACACAAAGTATATTTATTCCTTATAAACAACACAACCTGGTTCCTCTCCTTGCATGTTAAATAGACCATAATTGTACTTCCTGATGGATTTTTTCCATCAGTGTATTTAATAATGGACTGAATAGCAAATTAATTATGCACTCATTACTCTCTGCATATAGGACAGTTTTACTCTTTCTAAAAATCTACTTGAGCAGCACTCATTCCCAAACAGTATTTTCCCCCCTCATTTTCCCCTTCAAAGGTAAAGCTTGTTCATGTTATGTGAGACTAAAAACTTTTAAAAAAACTCCTGGTTTGTAAAGGAATACAGGATGCCTGTGAAGGTGGGATTTCATGCTACAATACCATGCCCTTTCCTCACGCTTTCAAGAATATAACTTGAGATGATGGACCACAGATAGTCCCAAACAACATCATCCAGACAGTTTTAGATCCCTTTCTCCACTGGACTGATTTTCTGAAGGCAACAGTTATTGCCAGGCAATTGTCACCACACAGCCTGGATATTCACAACCTCTGATGAGAGATTTATGCCTTGAAATGAGACATTCTATGAAGAAACATTGTCATTTGAGTTCAGTGATAAGTACCGGGAAGAATTAAATTTTTTCTGTTTCTGCAAATGCCATGGGTTTGATTTGCAAGTACTGTCAAAATTAGACATTTATTTAGACTAAAAAGAAATAATTTTTCTGACTGACTTCAGTTTTTCATAAATCTTTACATCTCTGACTTTAACAGCAAGACTTGTTAATAACCAACCCAACATCCTCTAATTCTTGTTCTGTGCACAGTCTCTGGATGGAGTGATAATGAAGGAAAGTCTCCCAGATGGCTTTGTCTGTAATCCAGTAAAATGAATGCAATATCAAAGTGTTTTTCACGTGATGCACAGATGCATCTTACAGATAACCATAATCTAATATTAATTTTAAATATAGTTAGTCTGAAATCTCAAGAAAAAAAATTATTAAGTGACCTATTACCTTGCAGAACAGAGACACCAGCAAGCAAACCAACCCTCTAAAATCCTAATGAATTAAGAACAATTCATATGTTTCAAGGAAGCCTTGAGATCTTTTGTCCCACATCAATTTACCTTTGCATTTAACTTGAGAGTGATGAGATGCTGTCGACCACAAGAGTCTTCAGCTTTTAACTTGACTGTGGTCAGCCCAGTGTCCACATAGGCCACTCTGGAAGAGAGAAGAGAACTGTCAGAGCCCTGCAGAAAGTGTAGTTTGAAAGGTCTGCAATACTCTGATTAGTCTGTTACAAATATTAATCAGAAGGAGTTGTATATGCCAAGCATTTCTGCTGCTGCAGATTTACTGCTGTTAATACAGCAGCCTAGTGCTTAATGCAGTCATATATCTCTGGGTTATTTACAATGTGTGTCAGGGCTCACGCTGTGGTCAGTGAGCAGCGTGTTTCAGTTTTCCATCACCGGAACCTTTGACACACACAGCATGTTCCTGTCAGCCTCTACTTATGTACACATTAAACTTCCTGTCAGATCTTTGATCCATTTCTGTAGTTTCTTACTCTATGAGACTTTTATGCTCTTGATTTGCTTTTCTCTTCAATGAAGTTCTCTTTTATTATCAATACTATTATTGTGGGAAATTCAGTGCATATTGGCTCATATTCCAAAATCTATTTTCTGCAGAAAATAGTACCTGAACAGGTACAAAATGAGTTATTTATGATGATTTGCCTTCATTTCATGACAGCTGTACACTGTATTCATGCATCCTAGCAAGCAGAAAGTACATACTAATTGTGAAAAAGTTTTAAAACTTCTGACTCTTTGCTTAAGATGTCACTGGTTTGTTTCTCCCACTACAATGAAGATGGATACAATTTTAAAATATATTGTTCTCTACAGGTAGATTTTGCTTAGTAGCTTCAACAATTGCCAAAACCATTCAAACGTCCCCATATATTTACCAGTAAACTGGGCATGTGGATATTTTGGCAGTTTTACTATGTCATTCCTGTGTAAAGATAAAAAGCAGTCCAAGATAATTGCACAACTTATCACCCAGACTGATGGAAAGGCCTAACAGAGTTCAGAGAGAGCATCTGCTTGCTGGCCTAAACAACATTTTTTTTTTTTAACCACTACATACTAGAAAAAGTCATGGTTCTCTCAATGGAAGCTGGCAATAGTTGTAGAGGCTTGCGGAAGAAAAAGTAGATGTACAGTAAAGGATTGCACATCCCCAGGAAGGAAAGGAAAAGAAAATTGTCTACATAAATGAAATAGCCTCAGTATGAGGATCCTGAAAAATACAGATGGAAAAAGCAGTAGTAGGTAGTAAGAAGGGAGAGAGAGATTATTTAATATTTAATGCTGATTAATGCAATATTAAAGAGACCTGCAGATTTCTGGGAGTATTTATCCACAACAGCTGAAAGAAAGACAAATCTTGATAAAAGTGTAATTTAACTAGAGCCAGTTACACTTGATATACTTCAAAAGAATTAGAGGATTCTTCCTCTCACTGGGGCGGGGGGGGGAAATCATTACTCCTGCTTTGTTCCAACTTCACCTCAAAAGTGTATCAGAGTTTTACAAAGATGAGAAACTACCTCTACACCAGCCCTCCATCTACTGCTTCCTCGGCTGGGGACTTCCTAAAGCAGCAGCTAAGGCCCAGCATGGATACTGCACTGAAAAATGCAGCAGTGTCTGCACCAAAGCACAGCTGGTGCCTGCAGCACTGCGCTGCAAAGATCCACAGCAAAGGAAAACAAAAATTAAAGGGAGGCTACCAAGGTGTCTGGGATTTTATCTGTTCTGACATTCATCTTCAATCTTGATTTATAAGAAAAGTATGGATTCTTTTAGTTTAAAGTCACACTTTTTGTATAAACACATAAGTAATTGGGAACATTAGTGATACTTCACTTCTACAGACTTTTATTCCTCTGTAGGCTCCATCATTTTATCACAGAAAAAAGGAAAAAAAAAAAAAAGAAAAAAGGAATACAAGGAATCAGCATAAAGATGGAAAGCCTCAAGTAAATCTCTGAAGTCCACCATGACACACAAATGACTGAGAGCACAGGACCAGGCAGGCTTCCCTGGAAATGGAGAAGGCAAGAGGAGAAGATACTTTGTATGAAATAAATGGGAAAGTATCAAGCAGAAGAGTTTTGAGACAATATGGAGTTAAGAGATATTGGCAACCTTTTTGAATCCCCATGAGGGTTATAAGAGTCCTACAGGTGTTCTATAGTTGGTAATTTGCCTTCCCAGGACACTGTCACTGATTCAACCAGCTTGATTAAAGGGAAGTATTAGAAGAGCATTTTCTATAACTTTACTCCTGCAGTATTATCTCCTTCTCCCCAGTCCAAATCTTCCAATCTTTCAGTTGGATTTGGGTGCAGTCATCTTCCAGCAAGACCCAAAACTTGCTAGGAATGAGTAAATCTGGGGTACACAACAAGCAAGGGTTTTTCCCAAGAAAAATCCTTAAATAAAGCTCAAGGTGTGAGCAGTGATTGCTCCTCACTGCCAGCACCAAACACAGGCACGTCTGCTGAAAGATCATTGCAGGATGTTCTTAACTGCCATGCAAATAAAGTATCACCTACAACTCAAAATCAGCGTCAGTTAAGAGGCTTTCTTAGAGAGTCACTTCAGTGTTAAAAGCATTCTGAAATTTAAGGTGTGACTTGCTAATGGACTTCACATTGCCCGTCCAGGTTATTCTCCTTCCAAGTCAGAATAAATCTGATGCAATTCCCTAGGTGCAGGGTAGTCCTTTGATCAGTGACTGACTTCCCCAACCCTTCTTCAAGATTTTGGGGTTTTTTTTGGTTGGTTTGTGTTTTGGTTTTTTAAACATTTTGGGAGAGCAAACATAATTGAAAATTTACTTCCCACATGTTTAAGAAATTTTACCTAATATTCTCAGACTTGAGTCTGAAATTTAAATAGAGTACAGCACAATTACATATTAACCATGGCAACCACTGACAAAAACTTCAGCTGATTTCTCAAGGGTGTTTTAAATCTTTAAATAAAAGTGGGCCTTGAAGTGCCCACTTAGTGTTAATCACATGTTGTTTATCTATATAGAGAAATCAGGTGGGAAAACTCAAACCTGTTCTTACACCTAAGGCTTCTTTATTTGATTTAGCACAAGATACACTTGTTAAAGTTTTGGGTTGAGAGCCTTTCACAATCTCCCCTCCACTCATGAATTTTCTGGGTAGATTTACCTTTCTGTGGAATAAATAATAAATTCCTCTAAGAAGATGCTTGTGCTGAAAGAGCAGGTTCTTTAAAAATTATTATGCTAATTCTAAAAAAAGTATGAAATGTCTTTATGAAAGCATAAAGGTACATGATGATTAACCATAATCCATATGGCTAGTCTCAACCAGCTGTACAAAATAGGGAAAAAGAGAACTCTAAATATTAACATTAAGTATGTTTAATATACCAGTAGTTTATAGGTCAAAGAAGAAATTATTTCTTAGTAGTGTATCACCTTTCAGCACAGTTATTTGAGACAGAAAATATCCCTTCAGTTGATAACAGGTTTGTTGGCTGTTTTTAATTTAAAAACAAAGAAAAATCAGTTTCTGAATAGGGTAAATGAACAGAACAAGTACATTTGATATTTTCAGCTCACAAATACAAAAGAGGAATAGATATTCTAAAGATAATGCTTGTTAAGAGTTAAAAAAATCATACCTATTCCAGCCCAGTATTTCTAGATCTCTGACAAGACAGGAGTAGTATTCTGGAGGCCGTGGGATGTGCAGGTCTTGTGTGTTCTTTAAAGCAATTTCCTGTTTAAAAGAACATTAAAAACATCGTTAGGAGCAATTTCAATATTTTTGCATCTATTTAGCCATGTGATTTTTGCAATTCATTTGGAAATATTAAGCTTATGTAAAATTAACTGTACACTGCATTTGTTTTGTTATAGCCTCCAGCTAAAGCAGACAAAGAAGCTGTTTAGTAAATTACTTCAAATACTGGTAATGAAAACATCTGCAATTTAAAAAAACCTCCACAGATGTTGACAAGGGAGTCTTCAGATGCAAATATCAAATGTGCCTCTTTTTCAGCTAATAAATTTGAAGTCAAGCATCTTGACTGAAAGAACATTTCAAAAGAAGGTTCTATTTAAGCTCACAGCTGTCTCCTGGGCTCCACTGCCACAAAAGACAACACATCTAGATATTCCCCATATTTTATATATATATAAACTTTATATAGCAATCAAAAAACAAAATCAGTTTCTCAGTTTTAACATCACAGGATCCCTTGGAATAAGTTTTGGTACAGACACTCATCAAGCATGTAGTAATGTTTCAAAAAGAATTTTTATCAGAAATTAATGTTACTGTGTAAAATAAGCCCTAACCATGTGTTTCAGTCGTGTTGTGCTACTTGTTCTTTAAAAGTGCATTTGAGCTAAAATTATGCTTACAGAACACATACATTTATAACATTTAGAATAAAATTAATAATTTTAAATAAAATAAATTTCAATGGAAATATAATTTATCAAACAAGTAACAATCATTTCTGCCCAGCTCTCCTACACCATCATCAGTGTTTTCATTCTCTGCAGTAACTGAGGATCACTATTTTGCTGTTTTGAATGAATTACACTTTACTGCATTCTCATTTTCTGAGTGCTTGTGTACATAGGCAAATAGATTGGAATAACTACTGTAAAGTATTCCAAAATAGACATTCTTATTTAGGTCTATTCCAAGCATAGCAGAGCAGCAGCGTAATGCCAGGAGGAATTTATGCTGTGGTTTTGAAGAATATTTCCTGTGTTTTATTCCTAAAGTAAAGTAGGTTAGATGAAGTATTCATCAGCAAGAATGCTCATAGAATAATGTTTCACTAATAGATAAGAATTCCCAGTTACATGTTTATTAAAGGATTTGCTACTGTTCAACCCCAGACCTGAAAAACTTTAAAAATAAGAATAAACAGCAGCCTCTAAAATATTGGGAAAGAACAAAAAAACTTTCTACATTTATTTGTAAAATTGTTAGACAGGTGAAAGCAATCCACTGACCGTATAACCCATTGTATAATTACAAGCCTGCTTTACCATCTAGACAATAAAGGAATTCCAAGAAAATCACTGTAAAGAGGATGGCTCTACACTGAGATCCCTTGCTGGCATTTTAAATTTTCTATAGCACTCCAACTTCCAAAAAATACAGTCACTTAAAATCCTAAAGGATATTTATACAGCTATTACATGAACAGCATATATACAAAATCATCTCTTTTTAAAAAAAGTAGCCACATATCAATGGAACAGTAATCTGTAAAACACTGAAAGTGAAACCCAAAGCTCTAAGAGCATCCCATGTCCCAAACATTTATTCTGCCACTCACCAAAACAGTTTTCAGCTCCACCATAAAGCTGACAAGATCTGGGCAGCTGTGCAGCCTCTGGAGGAAAGAAAAAATCAGTTAATTTTCTGCAACTCATAACTTCTGGTGGTTCACCCCAACTGTTTTTCTTGTATTGCTAAACCAAACATTAAGTATATACCAGATGTTTAAATTTTCCAATTACAGAATAGAAGTTCCAGGAAGCTTTACTGAGAATTAAACATCCCCTGGCATCACTCTTTTTTGTTTTTCTTGAAACCACCTCCATGAGATACAGTGTCTCAACCAGCACCTGCAGCAAAGGCTCCTTCTTGGAAACAAACTATTCCTTGGGACTCCAAGGCTGCTGTATCCTCACTCCAAAGCTTCCTTTGGATACGGAGATATAATTTAGATTTCAAGAATGAACCGAATATAATATTAACAGCTAATGTGAATTCTCTCCCTTGCATTGTGAACAACGTAAATACATTAAAAAAAAGACAAAATCTGTTTCTAATTAAGAAAGTAAAGAAAAATTCCAGTAAAATGTCATCAGTCATTTATTAAAAATTGTTCTAGCCTGATCTCAAAAAAAAAAAAAAATAAAAGTTGAATAAAAATAAATATTTACAAAATTCCATCTATTTCTTATTATATTTCCTTGTAAAGCCTCAGGCATTTAAAAATAAATCTTAGCTCTACAATTAAAGGAAGGTTCTTTAACCCTTTTATAATAGGTGTATGAGCACAAGATGTCACAGAATCATTACAAACAAATATTTAAGACTGTTTAATAATAATGATATTTAAATAAGTGGTTTTAAACTCCTATACCTGCTTTAAAATGTGCCGATACCCATGCAGGATCCTCTTCAGATGCCAGCTGCACTCTATCCTAGACAGAGTTTTGTACAAATTTCAAACTCATAGTACACGATTTTTAAAAGAGAGCAGAAAGCCTTCTATACACAACAGCTTTTCTTGGAAAAAAACAAAGGAAGGAAACAATACTTCAAAACTGCTTTGAGTTTTGCATTCAAAGTTACTTAAAACGTCCAAATGTCACTATGCCAAAGCCCATTAAAAATTAAGCAACAACCTGCAAAAGCCCGTTCTGTGCCGAAAACAACAACATAATTCTTGCAAGCAAGTGTAACTTCATAAAATACACTAATATTTAAAAGTGATAACCTGAAAATGTCAAAGTTACCTGTAATGCAGTTTTAATTACCCAGCCTAGAATGTAATAAAGCTATGGAATACCACATCTGCTCCCAGTTTGGAGCGAGCTGGCCTAGGCAGAACTAGGAAATACAAAGTTAAAGGCTCCTCCATGTATGTGGATTAGCCTCTTTCACTCCACTTCCCACAGATTGCTGGGATAAACACAGAAATAAGAACAGGGCTTTTAAATAAAAGTTGGGCCATACAAATTAATACATAGAAACAGCAAACAGAAAATGAAGTTAAAAAGCTCTGTTAATCATCATGGCTTAAATTGCTTACATAATTGCTTAAATTTACAACTTTGCACTGAATTTGCTGTTTCCCAAATGGTGACATATAAATGATCTATAAATACAAATTATATAAAATATATGATTTTTCCCAAGTACTTTGCTTCATATATGTAAACACAACCAATTAATTACAACATGTTTCAAAGTTAATTAACAACAAAATATTTTGATGTGCAATGCTTATTGTCAGCATTTATTAACACTGATGCTGTGCAATTTTGTTGCAAGGTTAAGCTGAAACCAATGACAATTAATTAATAACACTGATATTAGAAAAAAAAGAATAACTCATTTTCATATCCGTTTATTGCTTTTATCAAAATTAACTTCGTTACATCTTGAAACTTGAAAATTGCTACCATAAATTCTCTTACCAGGCATTTTTCAATTGCAAATCCACTGGTAGCAGTATCCTGATGTGGAAGTTTTTACCCTTGAAAAGAAGTATTTATTTAATAAGAAGGTCAGAAAAGAAAAATATTAGACACTTGTGGGAATGATTCCCCATCAGATCAGCTACTAAGAAAGAAACTTTGTCTTTTCTGTCTTTCAGGAGTATTATTCAGAATCTCTTTCCTTAGGGATAAAAAGCAGTATGAGTGACAGCTACAAATAATGTTGATTTTAATTCTGAAGCTGAAGTACTCTTGACCTTTAATTGACAATATTCAGTAGAAACTCTTCAGCACATCACATTTCATAAAGCAAACATAACACCTTTCAGGAGAAAAATCAACCTTATCCAAATCTGGACAGGATAAAAACATATAATTTAATCCAAATTATGGTACTGTACATGAAAGTTTGTCTTCAACTCCCGTAAAAGACAATACAGATGCTTATCATAAAAGTAACTACACTAAAAAGAACCTTGGGCACTGATCCACAGCACAACTCAGCAGAGTTTTATAAACTGTAAACAAAAGCAGCCTCAAGTACATAAATTTAAATTTTTTTCTTGTTAGTGCAATCCACATGGCACAGCTTCTAAATCCCCCCTACTTGTATTTTCAGTCCTTATTGAGGTTCTCCTTCTACTTTATCATGGGATGGTCAAAATTAAACAGAAATGAAGGTTGGTGAAGCCTCAAAGCAAAGGGAGCAGATAACTTATCGTAAAACTTTTATTCCAGACCCTACCCCAGCTCAGAACACCTTGAAGTTGGGAGTACTGGGTCCCCAGCACAGGCAAAGCATGGACATACTGGAGTTAATCCAGGGAGGAGCTCTCAAGGTGACCAAGAGCTCAAAGCTTCTCTCCTGCCAGGAGAGCCTGAGGGAACTTGGAATATTTAGCCTGGATAAAAGAGGGATCACGGAAGACTAAAAAGGTACAGCCAGATCTGAGTGACACACATTGACAAATGATAGAAATACAAGAAATATCACCTAAACAAAATGAAAAATTAATACTTTAAAGGGGATCAGAAACTGGAACAAGCCATCTAAGAGGTTGCACACTCCTGGAGATAATCACAACCCGACTGCAAATGGTCTAAAGCAACTAGTTAAGGCAGAGGACCTCCAGAGGTTGCTTTCAATCTCAATGTTAACTATATTTTTGACAAAGCTAGTGGACACAGCAGATACCTTTTTGCCATCTACTCAGATGAGTAAAGCCCCACGCTATTTCTAAATTAAAATACACTCGTTCAGAGCTGTGTATGTGTGATATTTTAAGGAGCCACAGCTGCACGGTGTCAGTGAAAGCAAAGCCGGGCTGGGAGCGTGCCCCTCGCCCTGCCTCAGGGGCTGCTCTGCCCCTGCACCGCGCTTTCCCCATCCCCACGGACGATGCAGCCGCTTCAGCTGAAGCCTCAAAAGTAAATGAAAGGAAAACACCCACCCATCAGTCATTTATGTCGACTTTTACCACAGGCCATGAACGCGGGCATATTCAGCCTTGCCCCAAAATCACTTTTGACAGCGCAACTAACCCAGGCCAAAAGGCAGCAGGAAGCCATTGCCCGGGCAAAACCGCGGGACGGCGGCGGGATCCCTCAGGGCAGGGAAATGGCATTCCCCAATTCACATTCCCGGTGGCTCAGCCAGGAACCCCGGCAGGGCGGAAAGCGCTTCCCTCTCAGAGCCAGGCGCGGCACGACGGGAACCTGTGTCCCTCCCCGGGCCCGGCAGGGCAGGAAACATACCCCCCCTCCACCTCGGGAGGCCAAGCGGCACCCGGACCGCGGTACCTGGGCAGTGACAAAGCCCTCGTAGGCGGTGCCGTGGCGGTTCTGCGGCAGCAGCAGCGGGCAGTGCCGGAGCAGAGCCCGCGCCCCCGGCCCGGCCATGTTCCCGCCCGCCGCCGCCGTTCGAACGCAAGGCCCCGCCCCCGCCGGCGGCGGCGCACGCGCCTGAGGGGCACGGAGGGAGGGGCGGCGCGCGACGCTGTGGCGGGCGCGCGCGTGAGGACGGGCGCGTGGCTCTAAGGGGAGGGCACCCGAGGAGAGGAGTGCACCTGAGGGGGCAAGCGTGTCACTGAGGGGAGAGCACCTGAGTGGGGAGAGCACCTGAGGAGAGGAGCACACCTGAATGGGGAGTACACCTGAATGGGGAGTACACCTGAGAGGAGGGTTGTGTCGCTGAGGGGAGCATAGTTGAGGAGGGGGGGACGTATCTGAGGGGCGAGGGGCGTGTCACTTAGGGGAGCGCGCCCGGGGAGAGGAGCGCACCTGAGGTGAGGGTTGTGTCTCCAAAGGGAGTACACCTGAGGAGAGGGAAGCTCACCTGAAGGGAGGAACGCACTCGAGGGCTGAGGTGCCATTGAGGAGAACGCACCTGTGGAGAGGCGAACACCTGAGGGAGGAAGCGCGCCGCGCTGAGGGACGCGCACCCCGAAGGCGGGAAACCCTGAGGGAGAGCCCGCGGCTTCCAGAGCTCCTGAGGAGCAGCCCTGTTTTCTCCCACAGCAAGCAGGGGGTCCTGCTACTTTGAGGAGCGTCTTTTCCAGAGTGCTGAAGGAGCACGGCTTCCCTAGAGCAGACCCGGGGTTTCCTCGCTATTTAGCACATCCTGAGGGGGCTGGATTAACTAAGGACTAGCTGTTAAGTAAGGAAAACTATTAAGTAAGGCTCATAGTAGTTAGCTGACTGTGCCATGGAGATTTTCGTGCCACCCAGGGCAAGGGGTTACTCGATTTCTTCATTCTTGTCTAGGGGTCAATATCTCCTACCATAACACTTTTAGGGTCATAATAGCTCTTCTGCCCTTTCATACAGGCGCTGGGATAAAAACCTTCCTCTCTTTTCTGGGTAGGTTGCTGCCAGGACCTGGCAGCCACAGTATGTGGGAAAGCCTGAGGAGAGGCACTTGAAACTTTAGGGTATTTTGTGTGTGTTTTGGAAGGCATTGAAACTTTGCACATCGTTGATGCTGAGCATCATGCAAGACTCATTTTACACCCAAATAGGCATGTTTAAGAAAGAAACACTGCTTTTTGTCTAGATACATTTGAGCAAGAAAATATAGTTTTATGAAGAGATAGATGACTTACCACGGTCACCTAAGAGGTGTGTGGCACAAGCAACTGTAGCTGTGTGGGACAGGAGGTGGATTAAAAGAGAAATTAAGGAAACCACACAAATGTTTACACCTGCAGCTAAATCCTGTTCCCTTAGCCTGGGAGACTCATTCACAGGGATTGCATGGAAATAGAAGAATCAAAAGCAGTGAAACCCTTTGCAGTTTTAGGTTGTTGTAGAGGCTATTGGAAATATAATATAGAATGCACTAAAAAGCAATAGATAGGTGAAAGAGTCCCAAGATTTGATATGTAAACTCATCATTTCAGGTAAGATTTTCAGGAATATGTGCTACTAAATATATATTCTTGCCACTGTTTAACGTTTTTTTGTACCTTGGAAGTGTCACTGGTGACTTCCAGCAAACTATCAAGTGTATCTGAGAAAGAAAGATCTGTGCAAGAATGTTGCTTTACTCTCCCTTTTCTGCTCTGGAAAATCTTGGACAATGCAAGATTGTTACCAAGGCAAGAAACATTTTCTAAACATATGCACGATCAGATTTTAAATACTATGGCGTTCAGCCCTTCTGTAGTTTGCTCCTCTGAAGCCGCTCCTGTGCATTTCAGTACCCAGCATAGCTCCCCATGAGCAGTTAATCCAGTGTTTCATAGCAATTTGCATCCCTCGTGTTATCTATTAATTTAATTTTGACCAAAACATTTCTCCTCTTGAGCTGTTTTCTCTCAGTATGCATTGCACTAGAAATTACCTTATTTAATTGTGAAGTAGCTCTGTACTTTACCAGGCCCGCTGATCATTTCTTAATTGCATCAAGTGCAAAATTGAAGGCAGAGGGGTTTTTTTCTTCTTTTTTGGCCATGCTTATCTGAGTCTCTGGCATTAAAAAAATGTCAAGCCAAATGCATTTATGGAGTAATGTATCTAAATAAAAATACTGTAAGGTCAGTAGCATCAAATATTCTACTACTGGAGTCCAGAAAACATTAATCATTATCTTACACTGTATATACTGCACACTTAGAAACTTTGTAAAAAAAATGCAATTACTTGAAGCATCATGTTACTTTGAGCTGGCACACAGACCAGCATATTTAAAGTAGAAAAATTGAAAAACAAGATCAGTGAGAAGTTGGAGAGTTCTGCTCCTCAAGAGAAAGGAGCACTGATGTGATCTTTCAGCCACAGGCCACATATACCAATTTAATTACCATTATTGTTTGCCAGAAGAATCATAATGGAGTATGTTATTAATTACTTGTCCATTCACATATCATATTCAGCCAGTTAAGCCATCAATAAAATCATGGCTCCAGTGGCAAAATAAGCAGTGTACAGAGCAAACACTTGCAAGCACAAATTTCTGGACTAAATTATGTTAGTTAAGTCATCCCACAAACAGTCAGAAAGAAAGTGCATTCATCAGTCAGAATGCACATAGAACCACATTGAAATAATGTGGCTTTTTTAAGAGCTGATTTTTTTTTATTTATTTAAGGATGTTATGAAAGACAAGAAAATGACAGTGCATTGTTCTCCAGCATTAGTGTCTCCAACAAAAACCAATCCATTTAAACCCATGCAAAATGGCTAATACTGTTATTGCTGTCCTTTTTCATAACTCAGTGTCATTTTATTAATCTCACCCCTAAGAAATGACCTTTTCTGTGCACATCCCCACCTTTTCCCACAAATCCCCTGAGTGACAGAATCTCATCCTGATCCCATTTCCATTTAGATGTTACAGGAAAGCATTGTAGACCTTGGAGGCAATAAGTAATCATAATGGAAAGATAATAATATGTTTATGAAATCTGGATTTTAGAATAGTAAATTTAAAAATTACAATAGTATTTCAAGCCACTGAAGGTCAATGTTACTAAGAGCAAAAAGCCATCGATCAAGTGTTCTCAAACTTTTCTAGTTTAGATTATTTTTTGATACTAAGCAGCTTTATTTCAGAGAGCAACACCTCTCTCCTGAGGTGATTCCTCATCTACCTAGCAGTCCCACAATCTGGTGTTATAAACAGGATTTAATATATTTTCCTACAAACAATCTTTTTCTAGCGTGGCTTTATCTTTTAAGCAGACCTAAAAAACAGAGAACAACTTCCCAGGCCTCTTCACAGTGTACTATAGACCCTAGTTTAAAAATTCCAGCCTTTATTAATTCTTAAAGGTAAAACAATATGTTAGAACTCGTAATTAAATACACCAAAATAGTACTTTGAGTATTGTATAGTTGTAGGGTGTTTTTTTTAATAAAGGTAAATTTGCTTCCTTGTGTCTAAAAGCTAACAAGTTGTCCATATAGGAAACCACTGAAACTTAACTGAAGTCTTAGACGAAAAATGAAAACCTCAAAACTCCAGCCTTGTCCTCAGCTAGTGAAGGAGTTTTCGTCTCTTCAGTTTTCCACTGTTTAAAAGCACACTTCAGACTCGCCAACGGCCATTTTTGTGACTTGCTGAAATTTTCTGTGACTAAAGCAGCAAACCATGGTTGCTACCTGGAAAGGGTTTTATTGGACTGCTGAAAGGCTGCTTGCTGCTGTCAAGGACTGTTGTGCTCTCCCTTTCCCCTGTTCCTGGCATTCCTGGCCCTGCAGCCTCTTCTCCCTTATGCCAGCTGTGGTTCCCAATCAATGCCCTTGTCATTGATTGTCAATGTCCTGTCACAATGGGCCAGTTTGGTCACTGACCAAAAGTCAATGGGTTTTTTAAAATTCTTTTTAAGCTGTCCTGGTTTGCTGAAGCTGTGACAGAGGCACTAGAGATGACATGAAGAAAGCATCGCGAGGGCACAACCACAAGGCAAACCATCCTTTTTGGAAGCAAGATGTTAGAGCAGACAAGAGCACACAGGTGAGAACCACCAGGCTTGCCCTTCTACCACCATCCTCCCAGGCCACAGTCTCTTACTGGCACAGTTTCCACAGACACTTCCTCCTTTGCTTATCTTTGGAGTGACAGGACAAGGGAGAATGTCTTCAAAGTGAGACAGAGGAGGTTTAGATTAGGTGTTAGGAAGAAATTATTCCCTGTGAGGGTAATGAGGCCCAGACATAGGTTGCCCAGAGAACCTGTGGCTGCCCCACCCCTTGAATTGTTCAAGGCTAGGTTGGAACAACCTAAGATACTGGAAGGTGTGCCTACTCATGACAGGTTTTGGAACTAGATGGTATTTAAGGTCTCTTCTAAACCAAACCATTCTATGATCGTATTTGCATAGAGTTGTCTTACACTCTACTTTTATTTCTGGCAATTTTGAAATATTTTTCATCGTTAACAACTCACAGACTCAGGGACTGTGGACACCTCCCTCATAACACCTCAGTACAAAGCAGTGCAGCTGTTCACAGAAATGTCTAAGCAGCAAACACCTCTGTTCTGATGATTTTGAATGCAATTATTCTTCTATATTTAAAGAACTTTAATATCATATCCAAACCAAGAGCAGTGATTGATCTATTAACAGTATAAAATGATTAAGTAAGCATTGGCTATTTTAAAAATGTCTTGCTACTAGAGGGCTCTCAAAGCTCACATTCATCTTTGTATATATAGGCAAAGTCTTGGCACTCTTTTTGGCAGATGACCCAGCAAAATGACTGATGTATGAACATTAATGTATTCACATAAATTAACTCTGCACATAAAAAACACAGAGCCTTTAAGCCCAATTACATCTTCCCCAATTGTACAAATACTCCCTTTGCAGTCAGTGGCAGCTCAGGAAGATGAGGCCAATCCATATGTTATATTGATTCTAAAGGCACAAGAGTATGCAGTTAATCCCTTTCAAACCTTGCAGAGCACAAGCTCTTGGAGATCTTCCAGGCAGCCAGATGAAAGTTGCCTTTCAGAAGCAGGGACTGTGTGTTGTTAGAGATTCCAAAACATGCTGGGCCAAAATCTGGCCTTGCTTTTACCAGTGTAAAATGGGACTATTTCAGGAGAGACCTGTATATGTGCACTGGTATAAAACTGATCATTTTCTTGCAACTGATCATTACCTTGGCCATTAATGGCTAAAAAAAGCAAAGCAAAGATGAACAAATGAAAATATTTTCTTCCAGCTAGAAGTCTTATAACATCTAAAACTTGTCAGACAGTTTGTGATCGTTTTTAGGTCTGTTGTGCTCCTAATAGGTTTTAGGTGAAGATAGTTCAGATACCAGGGTGATGCCTGATGTGTAGATCTTCTCAGGTAAGTAAAAAAAGGTGGGTTAAAAATTGCAAACCCACCCATGAATCTCCTGTAGAGATATTGCTTGAAGCATCCAGAAGAGTCATTACAGATGAGAAACGCCTTTCTTTTCTGTAAAGCTAAAGGTCTAACACCTTTAGATGCATTCACACTGCATTTCTCTCCATTAGCAGCTACCAAATCTGAATATTTTGAACTTCTGATGTTTCACCTGTGTATTGGCACTGCCTTTATGTAGGATTTTCTAACTACAATACACAAAATGCAAACAAGTGTCTCCAGCATTGTTCAGAATCCAGGCTGACACCCAGAATCCAGTGCAGAATCCTCAGATTTTACAGTGTAGCTGGATCATGCAAGGTTGCATGAGGTTGAAATGAGCCAGTTTACAAAATAAATGTATGTGTATGGTGTTGAAGTACACTGTTATGGCTAAGTTAGGACCCTAGTGCCCATTTTAAGTCAATGTTGTCTAGCAAAATAAAATGAAATTCCTATTTTCCAAAATGAGGGAAGTCATTAAGACAGAATTGTATCACCAAGCCGCAGTTTCAAGGTTTCTTCAACACACTTTAGAAAACTTGCATAATAAAAACAAATTTTGAGGCAAAACTAAATATATTATTTTGAAAATATCACAGTGAAATAAGCATGAAAACAAAAAAGGACCTTAGAAGTCACAGAAAGAAACCCAACCATTATCCACAAATAACAGTTGATAAACTGGGGAAAATCCATTCTTTGTCTTAGAAACAAAGGAGATACAATTTTAAATTTAGACAGAACAATAAGTATTATGTGATCAGTGGCTTACAATTTCATTGTAGATGCACCTTATGAAGAAAGTTGCTATTTGCGTAGATCAGTTTGTGAGCCACAAGATGCAACTCCAGGGATTTTGGACTAAGCAAGAAGTTTACATTATAGCACTTTATTCCATTTAACTTTATAACAGTTTTAAGTAAATGTCTAAGAGGAGCACAGACCATAAGAGTAGCGAATACTGTGCAGAAATTAGAAAGAAAAGAGGAAAATACATAATGTATGATATAAAAAGAAACAGATAACGAAAATTAAAAGGATTTTACTAGAGGAAAACAATTTCATTTTATTGTAAAGCTCTAAATGAATAAAATAAAGTCTTTGAATGTGAAGATGATTAAAAAGACAAAATCATTAGCTAAAGATATTTACAAGTTTAGACTTTCATTTTGATTGTAATTTTAATTAGCTGGACACTAGGGGGGATGAAAATGAAAGCCTACATCATCTACTCACACTTTAAATTGCATTCCACCTTAATTTTCTGCTCTTCAGTTCTTAATTTTCTCTATTTTTGTTCTAACTAATCCGGTTATCAGAATAAAGTGATTTTCTCTCAGCCAGGTTTAACATTCAGTATTTGAGTCTGTGAACCAAAAGTTCATCCCACTGCTTAAATTTTTATTCTTTCAATAGCAGTAAACTCTCCAGGAAACTTTTCCAGTCTTTTGTTTGTACAGCAGGGTGCTTTATGTACACATGACAGTTATGCAGCTAATAACAAAGAATTCTATTTTAAAAATAATTATGTTCCATTTACACAGTTTCCCGTGAAATTTGCTCATAAAATGCAGGATGCACCAAAAGATTAAATGCCATTTTCTTGTTCATTAAAATAATTTTTCTAAATGTAACCCAGTTACTTGCCTTTTTGTCTTGAAGGAACCACATGTCCAAGCAGCAGTCAATTTATTCTTAAGCAAAATAACTAATTCCCTTTGGGCTGTCTCTGCAGTGCACAGTTAACTCTCAGATTTGTGCCCATGTCTCAGGCCATGGACATTCAGACAGACACCCCGGTCATGAAAAGATGCACTGAAGCAGATCACATTTCCTTTTCCAGAAAAGCTCTGGAAGCACAAATCCAGAGCTGAGGTGACTGGTGCAGATGCATAAGCAAGGTGTCTATCACGGTGTGAGCATCCTCACTATCAAGCCTTATCTGTTTGAAGGATTTCTCAGGTCCTGTCTTGCCGTGAAGAGGTTCTGTCATCAAGTCACGTGGGATTCTTCTGCAAGCTGACTTATAAGACACCTAGTTGTGGAAAGGGTTTAAAGGGGCCATCAACACACTGGGGATTTCATCTGCACTGACCATGGAAGGTGTTCTGTAAAAGGGCGCAAAAGCTGTATTTCAGCCCTTAACCTTGCCAGGTCAGCTGGTTTGGGCTAAAAGTAGCTACCCTGCACTTTATGTGTTCTCTTAAAGGTCAGCAGGAGAATTAATGTTAACTCATTATGTCTTCCTTCCTTTCTGAGTAATTCCTTTTAGGAGAAATTCAATCCTAAAAGATGTCTTATATACTATTCTTCCAATAAGCTGGGTGAAACCCAGAAAGGATAGTTTGAGCTTGACAAGATAATTTTACCTTTTTGTTTTAAGCAATTGATTTGCAGGCCTTCTTGCCATGTTTTCCTCTTCTAAAGAACAGTGAGGATTCACTCAGGGCCTTTTTGTAAGAGAGCTTCCACTGAAAGTATAAACAATCTTGAGCAAAGCCTACAAATAGCTCTCTGTACCTGGGAGTTCTCATTTTAGTTCAGATCAGCATTATGCTTTTGAAGTGAATTTCTGATTGTCCTCATGTTCTGTGCTTTGATTCACATCATGATGTGGTATTGAACCACATGAACCAAATTCCTTTGGATTAAACTCAAGTGGAAAATGTTGAAATGCATCTAATACAGTCCAGCTGTAAATGTCCAGTCCGTCTTTTAAACCCAGCTACAGTTTTCTTAAAAAAAATAAAAATAAATAGTGCCATGGATATCACACCCTCATCACCACGTATTTTACTTTAACTTCACGTTTCCTCCTGCTCTGCTAATGCAAATGGAATTTTAAGGATAATCTACTTCAAATTCAGCGCTTCTGTATTTGCAGTTTTACTTCTCTCTCTTTTATGGAAGTTGATGTTCATCATCTAGTCACTCTCTCCCAACTAATTCAAATAGGTTCACAACTCTGTTCCCTGGGCAGAAGAGCCAATTGCAAATGTTTTATTTAAAACCAAAGGTCCAATTACAGGACCAATTTATGATCTCAGTCGAGCCAATATAAATCTGATCTAGTTCATTGACTTTAACCTGACTGCAGTAACTTTATTCCAGATTTGCTCATGTGTAATGAAATTGAGTTCAGACAATGGATCTGATCATTACTTTTTAAAGCATTAACTAGTAATATAAGTTGCAAGACAGAGTTCTTCCACCTTTGGAACAAGGCTTCATAATTATCACTTGTGGGTCAAAAGCATACACCCAGTCCAACACTGTTTTAAGGACCAAAGTGCTTTAAAGATTTTGCTTAAGGAAGCACAAGGTGGGCATGGCAAGACATGAGGATTTCAGCAGCACCACTTGAAAATAAGGACAAAATATTTATTTTTTTTCCCCTCCTGTTCATTCCATTATAGAAACATAGTAGTTCTCTGATGCAGCATTAAATATCTGGTAGAAACCTGTATACAGTTTGGGTTGGGTTTCTTTAAGCACAGAGGTAAAAAATACACTCATTTCTTGGCCACTCTGCAGCATGTGGTTAAAAAACCTGAGCAGACACATATGGCTTCCATAATGCACAGTACTGCACAGTCATTTTCCAAATCAGAACTCAAAGTATGTCTTCAAGTTTTAGCTGTAGACTCCCCTTCAGATATTTAGCATTTATAACTTATTTTCTCTGTTTTTTCAAGTTATTTAACTTTCTGGAATTTCCTTAACAATCACAGACAAACATTTTTATTCAGTTCAGGGTTCTGATTTTAGGACACTTTTGTTTGGTTGTTTTTTTTTAACTTTATGCAGTGGAGTAGTTTAGATTTCCTTATTTCCTAGGGAAAAAAAAAAAAAAGCAAAAAACTTTAAGGACAAGATAAACTCTGTAAAAGGAAGAATATGGCAGTGATACTCTTCTAGGCTTTCCTAATCAGTCTAGTACCCTGGTTTCTGTGACAGCTACATGTGAATTGAGACTAAAAGAATAAATATTCCCCTTTTTAGACTTACTGGCTTAGACTAAGAGGGAACAGAGACAGAAACTGCTGACTGCAAGAGCTGTGGATAAAGCACATAGGGATCAAACACAGGGTTAAACCAGGATTCAGTTGCTCACACTCAGATGACAATACATACTATATGCTAGATACATAATATTAAATATATATTATAAATACATATGTTAGAGCTAAAAGTGAAATACTTGACATTGACAAAACTATCCTACCTGAGAATCAGAATTTATGCCATAACCTGGCATGGCTCTATCAATTTATGAGCTTATGCTGGCCCTGGGCTTAAGTCTGTCTTTGAGTGCTTGAAATTAGTTTCAGGTGCAGTAATCACAGAAAGAAAACATGTGCAGGGACATAACTTTTTTAAGAAACAACAAAACTGAAACAGGTTTAGAGAATTATCCATCAAATTACATTTTTAAGAGTGGCTATTAAAATGTTGATGAAAGAATATAAGATGATGAGTCAGGGACACTAAAAGACCAAACACATGCTTCTACAAGATATTACACTCACTAGTAAGAATTTCACTTTATAACCCAATGTGATTAAACAGCATATTGCTGAAAATGCAGATGTTATATTACTACAGTTTATAAAAAGGGTTTTAAAAAGATTTTTCTAATTAAATCATGAAAGATCACAAAGAAATTAGGGAAGAACTTTGCTAAGAGTGCAGTCATATAGAAAGACTAGGATTTAGGCGTGGTCTTTGAAGTTTGCTTTTTCAAGCTACATGGCCTTGAAGCTATTGAAAGCTTGACTTTTCTGATGAAATTGTGCAATGTTAGAGTTATGTTGTACTACTCAATAATATGTGTGAGCTGTTTGTAAGGAAGAATTAGTTTTAAGTAAAATGGTTTTCATATTGACCTTGTATTCATATTTCTAAGGCAGCTAAAGCAAAGGCAACATTCCCAGCAGTGAAAATTCCTGCCAGGAATGTAACATTCAAATCTCAGTTAACGTGTTTAAAAATGGCAGTGATAGTGATAGAGAGAAAAGCACAATAATTCAGTAATTTTTCAAAACAGAGGTGTTACTATACAATAAATTTTCACCAAGGACAGCAGGATTTATCAAAATATAATTTATATATGAGATATATTTATTTTAAAGTAATCCTGATTTCTTAGGCATTATACCGGAGACTTTCTTACCTAAAAGAAATTTGAGCATTCTGTAACATTTTTTAGGGTTACAAGCACGTGTCAGTAAATATTCAAATAGTCCATTGCAAATGAGATTGCAAACCATGCTTAATCTTAAAACATTCCAGTACCTGCAGAATTGTGTCTTTTGCATTCCAAAGATTTTCCTTCTACTGTTCAACCTGCTGCCATTATGTACTTTATGAAGGAAGTGCTGAACCATAAGAAGTCGTGGATGAATGTGTTCAAGTATTCCATGCACAAACTTAGATCCATTGTACAGGGTCAAGTCCAGCTTTCTGTCACTATTTTCTTCTCTATAACCAAATTCCTCCAAGCTGAACAAAAAGTGCATTTCTGTTGAGTCTAATCTTCTTTCCCCTATAGAAATTCCACATTCTGATTTGGGAGCTGAACTTCTTCACTGCCCAGCAGGTGAGTAGTAATTACTTGATTCCATGTTGTCCATACACTTCAATGTCTATAACAAGATACTCCTAAAGATCAGATGAGGATGGAATTGTGAAAAATGTTAATTCTTGTAAACCTCTTCTGAAAAGAGCTGAAGGAATAAATTCCTTGTAGAGTTAGACTTGCCAGGCTCCTTGGCTAGTAGTCCAAACTGAAAACTCTCTTGTGTTTGGGAGTCTAAATGTGATCCCTTCACCTCCTGTTCTAGGGAGTCAGTGTAGGTTGTTTGCTTTATTCCTGTCTTTCTTATCTCTAAAGTTCTTGTAAGTTTGTTTGTTGTTTCAGCACAGTGACCATACTATTAACCCAGGCAGAAGTGTCTGAATTAACTCCAAATGATTGAGCCATCTGGAGAAGTTCAGTTTGTATTAAGCCCCGAGAGTTAATTGGGTTTTATGCGGCAGAGCTGCTTCAGGAAGCTCATTGGGTCCTATAGCAATGTGATGTAGATTTAATGCACCCCTATGCACTAAAGCCTCCATCAGACTCATTAACTGTTGTTTGTACATCCATTTTGGTAGATAAATTCGTTTAAGCATATGCATTTGCAGTGGGCTGTTATATATAAGTGTACTTCCTTTTCCACTGCTTGTAACTTTAGCCAGTGGCATCTCCTCCAAGAAAGAACACTTTGGCTTCATCCCCATAACATTTTAATTGCTCACTAATGAATCATGTTTAGTATCTGAGCATTGGATAGCTGTTAATTTCTCTGCATATATTTACCACCGTGGCATTTCACACAATTTGCAAAACTATTGCTTCTTCTAATATCATAAACTATTTCTGAATCCTTTTACTTATAATCCTTTAGAGATTGCAAGTGTTATGCAATCTTGCCCCATAGCTTTTGATTCTGGAATATTAAACAAAATATTTAGTCTTGAATTGTCTTATTTGAGAAAAACAGATTTTTTTTTTTTTTAACTGACATGCATTTCAGTTATTTACCAAAGTTTGCTATTTCATTTTAGAAATTTTTTTGGCTATCAGTGTAAATATTCACTGCTTTTGTAATATCCAAATTACTTGATACAATAATCTTGTAAAATTTATAGGAAGATATTCACCCTCCAAACAATTACATGGAACCCAAAATGTAGCAGATTTTTAAAAAATATTTTATGAGAATATTTGTTTTACACTTATCTAGACTGTATTTATTTAAAATTTTGTTGTAATAGTGTTTTTACAGTTATTTTAAGATAAAAATATTGGCAACTATTCTTACATACTTTCTCTAGATTTTTTTTATAAAGAAGGAATGACATTTTTATAGTAAAACAGACGAATCAGAAAAGGATTTTGTCTTCTTCACAATACTTACAAGGCTCAATTGAAAAGCAAACCCTGAATGAAATTGTTTTAGGCCTGCCTTCTGAATGTTTCATGACTAGGATATTTATACCTTAAACATTCTGCATTTTCACGTGTATGTTTAAAATATCCCTTAGTGGTCTTTTCATGCTGCTACTTTAAAAGGGAAATATTACAGCTGCTGTAATTTTGAGGGGAAAGATAAATGTTTATTTGACTTTTTTTTTTTTTTTTCCCTAACTTCCCAGCAATTCCCAGCAATTTCTGGCTGCAGGGAAATATGAGAGATTTGAAATCCTCTGAGTTTATGACATGCAATGGTGTACATGATTTCTCTTTCTTTTTTCTTATTGTTTTACAGTTCTCCTCCCAGGAAAATTTGGGAGAGCTTCAACTGCTCTCAGGGTTGCAAGTTTCCTTCCAGCACGAGGAACAAAGGTAAGTTCATATTCTCTACTTTTGTCAACATCTCATTTACTTATGACACTTCATGATTAGAACAAGTGGGTTTTCAATTAGAAAAAGTTCTCCCCAAAACCAATTTCCTGCTCCCATTCAAAAGCAGAGATCAAGGTCATGACAGCCTATGCTCCTCTCACATCTCAGCATATTCTGACTCGCATGGTGGACCCTCAACAAAATTCTAGAGCTGATGCACATAAAGGCATTTCTTCCCTTTTTGAGACAACCCAAAACAGAAACCCCAACCATTTAAACAGAAGTTAATTGGAGAAATTACATGTACTCAACATACATAATCCTTAAACACCTGATATTTCAAATCTATGGCAAATTTCAAGAACATTTTTACTGTCCTCCCTACATTACCTCACTTGGATCATTTGTCTTTCAAAGGACTAGTAAACCTTAATTTGCTTTAGTAGCTTTGAATGGATTTTTATTGTTTCTTACCACAGCCTTTCAACTCTAGTAATTTGAAAACTAAATATGAACTGCAAAACTCAATCAATCCTGTAGTATTCTTTTAATATCAATTTATATATAATTAACCCCCAAACTGTGTTCAATTACTGACAATTATTCCCATGCACTTTGAGGGACAACGCTAATTTCACAGTTAGCAGCATTTAAAAGGAAGGTGATTCAAACACCATATAAAAAAGTCCCTGTCTCAAGAGCTACAGAGCATTGCTGCAGACTTTGTGAGATAAAAAGGATTACACTGGTACAATATCAGAACTCAAATTTTACAACCCCACGCATGTCTGTGTGATTCTGTCTGGCAGGTAGTTTGTGTCAGTATTCTTTAAATCCTAACTAGGCTTATTATAACTTTGTCTGTGTCCTTTTAAAACAAAAGAAAAATTATGGAAAAATCCATAAAAACTATTGCACCTGATAAAGACTAATGATTAGTGGTGTAATCAGAATTTCTCACATCCAGATTTTTTTCTCTTAAGTTGTCTTACAGATTCTCTTAAGTTGTCTTACAGATATTTGAAGCATCTCTTTTATAACAGTTACAAGGTGCCTTCCCACACATTATAAAATCATGTTTTATGACCTTCATCCCATTTTGTGTCCCTATCCAATGAGAATATAGGTGGAAGGGATTCGTGATGTCATGATGGTTCTGTGGTCCTATCGGTCACTTTGTAGGGACAAATTATTTTTGTTATATCCATTTTGTTGTTGGGCTCTGATGGACCTTGTGACAACTGTAAATTTTATTTATATATGTGCATACTTAAAAGGTTATCAGTAGAGCCTAGAGCATTGACTGGGTACTCTTATTATAGAGTAGTAAATATCCAAATAAAGAAATAAATCAAATGACACCTTCCTCAAATGAGAGTTACAAAATGGAGCTAACAAACATTGATGGGCAGCAGTCTTCAGAAGATCTTCTAAATTATCTTGTAAGTGCTGTGAAGTTTAAGCAAAAGAGACAAGGAAACAGAAGAGTTATTGTCAAAATAGCACACCGACACTTAACAACAAAAATAACAACATTTTGTTGGTAAATGACAGCCAACCTTGGCTCTAGTGTATATCTCAATGATCCGAAGGAAAGTTACATGATAAATAAAATTGTGTGCATTGTAATTTCTGAACACACTGAATAACTAAAGAATAAAGACCAGTAACTAAATTCATGCAAAGGACAGATAAAAGGTTTTTATGGTTTAAAAGTAAATTTTGGATAGAATCCTGCAAACACCAAGAAGTGTGTTGATTTGTTGTTAAAAATCCATTCTTTATAGAAGACTCTAATTTCAAGTGAAATGCTGATTTTAACCTTTAGATTCATGATTTTAAGGTGAATCAAAACCAGCCCACAGTACTAAAGTACTCGCAGGTTTTTGCAGTATTTTTTGTTGGGTTGGCTCAATTTTTTTTCCAAAAAGCTGAGCAATAACTTCTTCACCTTTATGGCATAGGAATGCCATCATAAGTCACCAGGAAAAGGTCAAAATTGTATACAACCCTAAGTGTCAACTACAGATCATGCCACTGACTACTTGGGTAAACATGAGGGACAAGATGAGAATTTAATAATAAAAGAAAATTCCAAACCATGCTCAGACAGCAGCCCTGGAAAAAAACAATACCTAACATGGGGCAAAAAGGTGACCAAAATGCAACGGAGTCCCTGAAGGACACAAGTAAATGATGACTCATATGCTAAGTAGGACCTGTCTTTGGGGACAAAGGGGAACTGTGTATGTGTGAACCCAGCTGGGCAAGGTGTGTTGAAATGTAGAATAATCCAAAGCCCAGTGAAGGCTATAACTTTTTTTTTTTTTCTGACTTGAGAGGCTTTGGGTAATAATCCCACAGGTGACAGGAACAGCCTCAGAAGCTTTTGTGGACTAAGAAAAGGTAAGTTTTCTCCAGGATTCCTCCACTTGTACAGGTGCAGGTCAAGGAAAGGTAAGATTTCTATAGGATTCTTGCATTTGTACACGTGAAAGGTTGAAAATGTCAGTGGAGGTAATGACACTGAACAGTCCACAGCTTCACAGTGGTAGTTATCCACTCTAAAGTGAATAATGGCTGTGAGAATTAGAAGAAAAACTATTAATAAAAAACATTGCAATGTTTCTGGTAAGAGCTTGTACAGTGTATCAAGTAAGGAATAGGCATTTTAAAATTGGGTTGCACTAATCTAGCTAATTGCAATGATATTTTTAGCATTGTAGGTCTAAATAACTATGTGAATATGTAATTTAAAACATTTTTTAAATATTTAATGCATTTACACAAGAGATCACTAAGGATATCACGTAGCATCGACAGACATTTTAAAATTGAAAAACTGAAACAACAAAAGATACAATTCAGGTTTCCAAAACTGAGCAAAAGACAAAAGGTCTGGTTAAAACAATGAGGCATAGAATCTTACAGGGAAGACTGAATTGTATTGTAGGTTCACCTGCTTTTGTTTACCTATTGCAGTGATCCTGGTATGTACCAAACAATATGTACAGCAATATCCAGGCACAATATAGTGAGTTAATAATGGAGCTTCAGTCTTAACTCTGAATTCCCTTGCATTACTTGGTATATTGCTGATACAGATAGGGTTTTGTGGCTTAATTCGTGGCAGCACATAGGGTGTCAGCTGGAAATCCATTTTGTCATTGTAGAACAATATACAGAATATAATAAACCCATTCCCACCTTCCCATTCTTTCCTTACAGTAGGAAGCCAACATTTAGAAACCCATAGCAAACAAACACCTGCTAAGCATAAATCACGAGCACAAACACAGCGCTGGACAAGTTCAGAGAGATATGATGGGAGAAAAATCCATGGAAAATGTTAATAGTCATTAGGAAAATCTAACTTTTGTTTCACAAACTGACAGGTGGCTACTGAATTGACTTCAACACAACCATAAAGAGAGAGCTGGTTATTATGCCAGTAAAACTTAAACAGCCGAGCTTTTTAATAAGCTGCACTCTGTTAGGAGTACACTGAGGGAGCCCAAGCAGGAAAAAGCAATAATCACATCTAGCAATAACAAGAGGATCAACTAATATCCATCATAATTTCTCCCTGTTTTGCTTCTCCCTATTAGTATGACATATAGTAGAAGTAGAAGCAGCCTAACAAGATACTGAGCAGAACAGGTGCAGAAACTAAAGCGTCTTCCATTTAGAGAGTCAGCATTTTTCTTTGCAAAAGCCTCTTGTGCGCTGTGCAGGTTGGAGCCTGGGTTGCCCATTGCTTATACCCATTGTGTGATGTGTGCACTATTTTATCTTTTCCTGCAGAGTTTGGTTGTGACATACATAACACATGTGCCCATAAAGTTACCCAGAAAGGCACTGAAAAGGTTCAATATATGTCATGGCAAACATATTTCTTTGTTAATTCCATAAAGACAGTCTGGAGAAGCCAAGTCTCCTACAATTTTTGTGTCTGCAGTGGGGAGAAACTAGCACATTGCATGCTATCATTATCACAGAATTATGGTGCACTATGTAATACTTTCACTCTTGCCAGAGAATGATAGTGGAAATGGCATTGCCCCATTACTAATGCTTAATGTATGACCAATCAGAAGCTGAAAATCATATGACCAGTGGCAGCTTATGCCATCCTATCAGTTCGTAAATTGGATGCAGTTTGTCAGATGGACACAATATCCCTCCACTGTAGGTGGTCTCTGTTTCATTAGGTTTCAGATTGATGGTAGTGAACAATAATCCAAAAGTGTGCAATAGGTACATCAACCTCATTTTTCATTAACAGTGCTTCCCAGACGTATTGGGAGCAGGTACAAAACATAGATTTTGTTTGGCTTACTTTGATCCGTGCAGAGACTATTGGGTATCTGACTTCACTGTCGGAGGCTTATGGTTTCGGTTAGCAGAACCTGGTACAGCAACTGGATGAGGTGTTTTTGATATAATCTATTCATTTAGGTGTGATGCAGAAATAGTGGGTGGCAAAGCTGCTAATTTTTTTTTATGAAGTAATGAGCAACTAACAATTTATTTACATACAAGGCACTGCAGTTACTAGAGGACCTTTTTTAGTTATGGGGTAGATACAAGAGTGGTAGTGATTTATTTTTCTTTATTTCCCAAGAGATTAACAGAAATATTGGTGCATTTTTGCAGCTTCTAAAAGAAATTAAAAGACTGAAAGTCTTTGTCAGGGTCACAGAAATTACAAACAAGCCAACTATGGCTGTATCTTACACAGTTTTGACTTATAGGAATGTGTTTTACTTCACAGTGAAATAAAGTAGAATGCAATGTTGTTCAAATAGTGAGTAATTGAAAAGCCATTTTGAAAGCAGAGACTTTGAACCCCTGCAAATTATATAATATTTATAAAGCTGGCAGAAGTCTGATATTAGACTCTGCAGCAGATGAGTAAGAACTGCTATCATCAGGACTGATCGGGTACCACATGCTTTCACTATTTTCAATATAGTTTTCTTCCTCATTTGTATATTAACAAAGTGCATGTACATTATTAGCAAGTTAAACAGACTTATTTTAAAAATAAAATCAAAGCTCTAAGTAATATATTATGCAGGAAAAATAATGTTTTGAT